TTATTGCCCGATCCAGATGAAATTTTGCACAGATCATTTGTTTGGTCCAAGGACCCTTAAGTAATGATGACGAATAATCTATTTTCTTATATGTTGTGATCCATAGTATTTAAAGTTGTGTTAATATATTTGCTGAGATTGCGAAAATCCAAAGGATTCTGACTTTTATCGTAAATCCCATTATCGAATCTAAAGAAGTATTGCTACATCTGTCTCTACACAACTTAAAACATGTATTGTTAAATATATTTTAATTGGAGGCTTTTTAATTTTCTTCAAAACTGGTTCAACTTTACATGTTCATAAATATGACTGAATTCGGCAACAGAACAATTAATTTAATTAGTATCTAACATCTGACGCACTTTGAAATCCAACAACAACAGTGTTGTCCAGACATGCCAATACCTGCAAATTTATTCCGCATTTCTCTTTTGCCCATCTCCAGACGTTATTACTATTCTCTGGATATGTACCATAAACGGATGGTAGTCTCATCTGCTCGTCTGCCCAGCGATCATGTCCAGTGTCTGAAGTAAACCTTTGCGCTATCAACTATCACTTGCTGACGACAAACACCAAAACTGGTGAAGGAAGTTAGCGCCGTCTCGAAGCCAATTCAACTTTCAATTTGTTTGTACAACGTTTTGTGTGAATTGTGTATGTTGCGTTTATTGGCATGGGATGCACATTCAGATTCTGTCAGCATTTTTGAAAAAATAAAATATCCCACAAAAATTATGAGAAGACTAAAGTATAAAATTTTGTTGGATAGAAAAACTAATTTTTAATACCCTCCACCATACATAGTATGAAGGGTATTTTAAGTTTGTCATTCCATTTGTAACTCATCGAAATAATAATTTTATTAAAAATTATTATTTCGATGAGTTACAAATGGAATGACAAACTTAAAATACCCTTCATACTATGTATGGTGGAGGGTATTTAAGTATATATATATATATATATATATATATATATATATATATATATATATATATATATATATATATATATATATATATATATATATATATATATATATATATATTTGATCAGCGTAAAATTCTAAGACGATTTAGCACTCTCCGTCCGTCTGTCTGTTGTAATCACGCTACAGTCAAAACAAATTAAGATAGGAAGCAAACATTTTGCACAGATCTGTATTTTGTCTACAGGCAGGTCAAGTTTGAAAATGGGCTGGGCTATCGGTTCATGATATCGTATAGCCCCTATATAATGGTACCCCGCCATATTCGGTATTTTGATGATTTTAGCCACATTTTTCAATGAAATTGTCTGAAATTCTACAAAAGGAGATCTTTGTGAGCACTTTACCCCCTGAATCACAATTGTCTGAAAATCCACGCAAGGAGTTCCTTGTGAGTACTTAATACCATGAAAGAGAATCATCTTTATAGGTCTACGATACCGTATAGCCCCCATATATTGGTATTGGAATTGTCAATGGAATTGTCTGAAAATTCGCACAAAGAGTTCCTTCTGAGTAGTGTATCTCCTGCAAGATAATTATGTATATTGGTCCATGACCCCGTATAGCCCCCATACAACGGTACACCTCGATATCCTGTATTTTAACGATTTTAACCACATTTTTCAACGGAATGGTCCTAAATTATACACATCTTCTACACAGCATTCTTTGCGAGTACTTTACCCCATGTATATATATAGGTACACAATATCGTATATCCCCCATATAGTGGCAACTTCCGACATTCGGCATTTTTATGGTTTGTCTTAGAATCCACACAAGGGGTTCCTTCTGAGTACTTTACCCTTTAGAAGAGAATTGTCTAGATAGGTCCACCTTTTAGTATATAACGGTACCCCCAGATTTTCGGTATTTTCATAATTTTTGCGACATTATTCACGGGAATTGTTTCAAATTTCGTGTATGAAGTTTGGAACCGTTACTACAACCTATGATACAGATTACTTATGCAGGACCACGTCTTCGTATAGCCCCCATATAGCGGTTTTTATTTGACCATTATTTTTCGACGGATTTTTTTTAAAATTTTCAAGGCAGGACTTACTATAACTACTAACCTACACCACTATTCATATTTAGCAGAATAACCTTTAACAAATAAACGTTTACGTGAACTAAATCGTTTGTTGTGAACTAAATCATGCAACCTATGAGCGCTGTTGAAGACGTGTTATTTTTTTGAGACAATTAAAATATCCACTAATTTTGACGGATGTCATGTTTTCTTCTGTATGTGACCTCACTTAACAAATAACATTGGTATAGACTGCACATTATGACTGGAAACTATATCCAGATCTGAACTGATTAGTACATATTCCGAAGTATCTTATTGCATGTCCATGTTAAGTATTGGAGGTAGTTACTTTTACCAAAATGTAACGATAGATGAGATTCCATAATTATACAATTACTTTGTTATTTGCGGTTGTAGTTCCTCTACAATATTTAAATCGATCATCCTGGTATTTAGCATTTCGTGAATTCAGTCAAAATAAGATATAAGAAATGCCTGTAAAAAAGAAAGTATTTTGGACTATTTCTATTTTCACGAGAGGAGAAGCCCCTTTTACAGCAAGAGAGGTTACTCTTATTTATCACACAATTTCAATAAAAGTGTTTTGGGTTTGAAAGTTTTAAATTATGTCGATGTGTGCCGATGCGCAGCATTTATGAGGTGTATGTATGTCATATTTGTTAATAAGAATTAAACTAAAAAAAAAAAAAAAAAACATTGAAAAATGTGGCAAAAATTATTACATTACAAAATATTGCGAGGATCAGTTAAATGACGGTTATGTTTAATGGTGCGACCAAATAGATAATTTCCTATCAGAGGGGATGATATACAAACCGAATTTCAAATACTACACTTCAAACAATTTAATTAAAAATTTGGATGAAGTTATAAACTTACTTATATTAGGGATGTTCCGTTTAGACCTCCAAAAAGTCAGAATTCGAAATCGCGTGAGAGCATTCCTGGGAGTGATATTCACAATTAGATGGACGGACTTTTTCACAAAAGCTTTGATTCCATACACTACAAACCTACAAAAAAAAAAAAAAAACAAAAAGCTGTAAGTTCGGCGAGACCGAACTTTGAATACCCTCCACCATTTGTAAAGAATTTGACAAGTTTCAAAAAAAAAAAAATTGTTAAAATCTTAAAATTACCGAATGTAGCTAGGGTCTATACGACGATAATATTCAAATGCGAAATTTGGCTGGCCGGGCTGAACTTTGAATACCCTCCACCAAATGGAACCAGTTTGGCAATTTTCAAAAAAAAAAAAAAAAAATTAAATCCGCTAAAAATTCTGTTAAAATCTTAAAAATACCGAATGTAGCCGTATATTAGGGTTTATACCAGGACGTGGATTTGTATAGGCAACTTTTGTCATAACCTATAAAAAATATTCAAACGCGACACTTAAAAAAAATCTGTTTATAATGTAGCTTAAATCATCAAAATGCCGAATATAGGGAGGTGGTTATAAAACGTGGACCTGCACAGACAATTTTCTGTCATAGGCTATAGTATCCATTACGAACTTTAAATACCACATTTGAAATAATTCCGGTAAATAATGTCGCTAAAATCATCAAAAATACCGAATATCGGGAGGTACTGTTATATGGGGGCTATACGAAGACGTGGACCTGCACAGACTATTCATTACGAACTAAACTAAATACCAAATTCGAAACTATTCCGGTAAATAATCTAGCTAAGATCATCAAAATACATAATATATGGGGTACCGTTATGTGGGGGCTATACGAAGACATGGTCCATTTTCTATCTTAGGCTGTAGTACCTAATCCGAACTTCAAGTACCAAATTTGAAACAATTTCGGTAAATAATGTCGCTTAAATCATTAAAATACATAATATCGGGGGGTACCGTTATGTGGGGGCTATACGAAGACGTGGACCTGCACAGACAATTTTCTGTCATAGGTTGTAGTATCCATTACGAACTTCAAATACCAAATTTGAAACATTTCCGGTGAACAATGTCGTCTAAATCACCAACATAACGAAAATAGGAAGGTACCATTATATGGAGGCTATACTAAAACGTGGACCTGCAATGCTTATTTTCAATACCAAAAGTCATGCAGACATAATATACATTTCAGTAAAATTTTATGTCGAAAAATGTTTTCTTGTGGAACTTCTTGTTCGGGTAAGAAATAAGAGGACGAAGAAATAGTCGAGGTAGAAAGACGTGTGTTTGACTGAAGAATGAAGAATGTGTTTGACTGAAGATAGGTCATCTTAAAAATATGCTATGCCAGCTGCAAATTGACATTTAAGACGATATCATGATACATTTTAGGGTCACAAGCTCTCAATTCATCACGTTATAACTCAGAAGTTTGATTCACAGAGAATTTCAATTTCGGCGTTCTTTATATATTTATTAGGAGTTCCAGCTCCAAATATTTGGTTAACCTGGCCTGCCTTGTCCTTAATATTTTGAGATTTCCATTCCAGAATGTATGTTAAGCCCGTATCGTGCGAGTTAATACCTTATTGAAAATGTCGGAAACACTAGATAACTTACCCTATTTTTATAGCTACAATTTCGTTGATGACTCCGATGAGTTATACGACCTACACATGGCCATTAGAAGACTGATGTTCTGTTTCTGTTTGTCGGGATCCCGACAACTGGTATGATTGCCTATTGACTACTTTCATTCACTAGTGCTATCACCTGTTAGAACGAGTAAATCTAATTATTCACTTGTCTTCTGGGCTTTGTAGTTTCTGTCGCCTTTTAAAGCGTTTATGACATACGCAGTCCATCTTCTGTCTCTCTCCCTCTGTCCGTCTGTGGACTTTCCTCTAATTTTCAAATGTAATTTAATAGGAGTTTTGAGTATGCCTGTAATATAACGGCACCGCCATTTTTTTTGTATTTAAAATGTAATTCACGAATTCCGTTATTACCATGATTTTCAACGGCATCATTCTCAACGGCATCACTGGGCTCGACCCTTCCAATTTCATATCATTATTAGTTTGACTCTCCTGGTAGACCTTGATTGTTATTTTACAGTATCTTTTTTTTGATTTTGTCAAACTTGTTTAAGTTTTTTTTTTAGCTGGAGACACCTGAAACGGCATCCCTAATGGCTACCCATGATACATGGTCACATTGATGTACTTCGATGAATTCGGTATAAAAGGATGAGACATCAAGTGAAGATCATTAGTTAGAAAACTGATTTAGTACAAGAAGCAACAGCAGCTAGATTTAAACATCAGCTTACTTCGAAGTTTCCAAACGCATTCAGTAAACGAAGATCAAATAAAGTTATGAAAGCTTTTATATTAATGTCGTGTTTGGCCTTGGCCGCTGCCAAGCCAGAAGCTGGTTATGCCTATAATAGACCTGGCGGTGGTAGTGGTGGCGGTGGTTTTGGTGGTAGTTCGGGAGGTGGTGGTTTCGGCGGAGGTGGCTTTGGTGGTGGAGCTGGTGGAGGTGGTTTTGGTAGCGGAGGCTTTGGAGGCGGAGCTGGTGGAGGTGGTTTTGGTGGCGGTGCTGGAGGTGGTGGTTTTGGAGGCGGCGCTGGAGGTGGTGGATTCGATGGCGGCGCTGGAAGTGGAGGATTCGGTGGTGGTTCCGGAGGTGGAGGCTTCGGTGGTGGCGGGGGATTTGGAGGAGGTAACATTATCCCTATCAAATTATTCCTTTTAAATTATTTATTTTATTTGCCTTAAAAAGGTGCTGGTGGCGGCTTTGGAGGTGGTGGTGCCATTGGTGGTTTTGGAGGCGGCACCTTGGTCCAAAAAAGCGTATATGTTCATGTGGCCCCTGAGGAACCTGAGGAAGTTCGTCCACGACCAAATATTCCTGTTGGCCCTGCTCAGAAAAATTACAAAATAATTTTCATTAAAACTCCATCAGCTCCCGCTTATCAGGCCCCTGTTATTCCGGTTCAACCACAAAATGAAGAAAAGACATTAGTTTATGTATTGGTCAAGAAACCCGAGGATCAACAGGACATTGTTATACCCACTGCCGCACCTACACAGCCCTCCAAACCCGAAGTGTATTTCATCAAATACAAGACACAAAAGGATGGCGGTGGGGCTGGTGGTGGATTTGGTGGTGGTGCTGGCGGTGGAGCTGGTGGTGGAGCTGGTGGTGGCATTGGCGGCGGTCTTGGAGGTGGAAGTGGAGGTGGTGCTGGTATTGGCGGTGGCTTCGGAGGCGGCAGCGGTGGTGGTGTTGGAGGAGGTATTGGCGGTGGCAGTGGAGGTGGAATTGGAGGTGGCATTGGTGGTGGCATTGGTGGTGGTATTGGAGGTGGCATTGGTGGTGGTATTGGAGGTGGTAGTGGTGGAGGTTCCCCATCTACAAGCTATGGACCACCTGGAAAGTCAGGACACCATTAAGTTGTTTCTAATCTCACATGAAGAAAATCAACGAACAAAATGCTGAAGACGAACAAAATACGATAAAATACTGATCAGACAAGAGAAGTGCAAAAAAAATTTGTAACTTTTCTTATGAAGCATGCCGAGGATATCTAAATACAAGTCATGAACATCTTTCTATTCTTTGATCTATCTCTGTGTCTACTCCCTTAGTCTACGGTCTACTATTACAATCTATTATCTACGTATATAGCATTAACATAAAAATTAATAGGCGTTTTTAAGGCGTTGTATTAATGTACATATTGTTGACTAATTACTTACATATTGTTAACTAATTTTAATAAGCATAATAAAAAAAATAACGGTGACAAAATTTAACAGAACAAATGTTTATTTCTATATTGGGTTCATATATATTATTGCCATGTAATATTGAGCTTTACGAGAAGGATATTGTCAGTATCAAAACATGAAACTATATGAACAATGTCAACTAAAGGGATTATTATATAGTGTGTCTCCAATGCGGAATTTGAAACACTCAACATACCGTGTATCGGTAGTTTTTTAGAAACCGTCGAACAATTTGGACAATGTTCTGACACTAGTGGTGAACCTATTATGAACTACAGAATTTGGCACAACAATTTGTATTGTATCTAGAATGGTTGGTATTGAACATGAGATATATCGGTCTACGTTTTGGCCCCCATACAACAGTACCTTCCAATATTCGGTATTTTGATAATTTTCGCCATGTTTTTACGGACTTGTCTAAAAATTGGCATTTGTATTTCGTATTAGGTTCCAGGTCCGGTGGCGGAATATTATGCATATATGTCCAAGGTTTTGTATAGACTCCGGATATTCGGTATTTTGATGGTTTTAGTAAACTTTTTAAAAAAATTTGCATTTATAGTTGGTAATGGGTTCCACTTCCGGTCGCGGAATATTGTACATATAGGTCCACGTTTTCGCGTAGGTCCTCCCAATATTCGGTATTTTGGTCATTTTCGCCATGTTTTTTTCGGATTTGTCCAAAAATTGGCAATTGTATTTCGTAATAGGTTCTAGGTCCCAAGGTCTTGTATTGCCCCTATATAACGGTACCTCCCGATATTCGGTATTTTAATAGTTTTAGTCACATTTTTTAGGAATTGTTCAAATATTTGCATTTGTAGTCCGTAATGGGCTCCACTTGTGCATATAGGTCCACGTTTTCGCGTAGCTCCCATATAACGGTACCCACCGATTGCTTCAAATGTAATAGTTAAGAAAATATGGTAGATAACAATCCCTGAAGTATAAAATTGTCTATATAGGTTCCCGTTTTGGTATAGCGGCCTCACCCACATAGTATGGAGGGAATATTATCCGAACGAATTAAAGTAGATTGATAAAATTTTGCTCAAATGTATGTTATGTCTGCAGGATTTTGGTATTGAAAATGGGCCATGTAAGTCCACGTTTTGTTATATCCCCCATATAACGGTACCTCCCGATATTCGGTATTTTGATGATTTTATTGTTGTTTTGTTTCAAATTTGGTATTTGAAGTGCATAATGTATACTACAGCCTAAGACAGAAAATTGTCTGTGCAGGTCTACGTCTTCGTAGAGCCCCTATATAACGGTACTTCCCGATATTCGGTATTTTAATTATTTTATGGACATATTTCACCAGAATTGTATCAAATTAGATATTTGAAGTTCGTAATGGATACTACAGCCTACGACAGAAAATTGTGTGTGCAGGTCCACGTCTTCGTATAGCCCCCATATAACGGTACCCCCCGATATTCGGTATTTTGATTTTATCGACATTATAAACGATTTTTTTAAGTTTCGCATTTGAATATTGTAATGGCTTATGACAAATGTTACCTACGCAGGTTTATGTCGTCATATAGACCCTAATATAATAGCTACATTCGGTATTTTTAAGATTCTAACAGAATTTTTAACGGATTATATTGTTTTTGAGAATTGCCAAATTCGTTCCAAATGGTGGAGGGTATTCAAAGTTCGGCCCGGCCCAACTTACAGCTTTACTACTTGTTTTTTTTTTTTTTTTTTTAATTTAAAAGTATTATCCCAACGGTTTTACTATTTATAATTTAAAGTCGAATACGTTTGAAATTCAGATACCTTTATAAAAAATTTTTACTTTCCCCAATGGTGGAGGGTATTAAATGTTCGGCCCGGCTGAACTTAATGTTTTTTTCCTCATTCCGTTTGAAAATCATTGAAATAATAATTTTAGACCTAACAAAGTATATATATTTCTGATTAGCGTAAAATTTTAAGACAATTTAGCCCTGTCCGTTCGTCCATCTGTCCTTTGGAATTCGTAGACAAAGTTCTGCCACTGTCAGAGCCCATTAGAAATTCTTAATAACAAATTTGGAACAATTCCCTGGACAAATGTGGCTAAAAGTAATGCAAATGCCGAATATCTTTACATACTCTCCAATGCAAACTATTGTTACTGATTGCAAAGCTCAACTTCCGACAGAGGGACAGCGAATTTATACTTAAGTACTTTATATTAATAAGTTATGCCCTTCACATTTACAACAAAGATATTTGGTACCAGATATCAGAACGTAATGTTGGCAACTAAACAATTTGAGTGCAAGGTTACCTTCATTTTTACCAGTATTCACTCTTCTTTCATCGGCAACAGGAATTACAAATGACCTCCAGAAGTTAAACTCATCAAAAAAATTCAGGAGACGTTACGTGATTATTTTAGCTTCTCGATATTTCAAGTTGTGTGTAGTCAACTTAGTTTCGTTAGATATGTTCCTGAAGACCATACGCTGATATTGCTTTGTTGGACGAAAGTATGGGGCGTGTGACAAGCTGATTTTTTGGTGCACTTCCATCCTCCCAAAGAGTGTTGCTGTCGAATGAGTCCGTACTACATTCGGAACAATCATGTGTCGCTGATCTGGTAAATGTAGAAATAGCCACTTCCATTGTTCTTCTTCCCTAGGATGGGTGGATGATATTAGGAAAGTTTGCCTCGTAATTGCCGTTTGAAGGGGTGGTATTTCTCTTGCATTCTCCATTGTCAATGTCTTCTAGAAATGTTTGCTCTAATGATTTGATCAAATATGTGAGGGAAGTTCAATATTTTGTTCTACAGAAATCGGACCAATCTTCTTCCAAAAAAGGTAAAATCGATTGAAAGTGAAATACCTGAACCTAATTGTGAATAATTTCCATCGATTTCCACGATTGTAACTTTCGATATTCAAGATTTTGAAGATTTTGTGACAGCACATAGCCTATACAGCACCATGTTTTCATGTAACCCCCATATAACTGTACCTCCCTATTTTGGCAATTTTAGCCACATTTTCTAATAAAACAATTTAGAATTCGGTATTTAGAGTTGATCGCGGGTTCTACTCGCTGTGGCAGAATGTTGTCTACATATGAAAACGTCTTCCAATTGTTCTCCTATTTTGAATTTTAGCCACATCCGTTATTTTATTCATAACGGATTTTCTACCACCTGTGTGCAAAATATTGTCTACATAGATCCACGTTTCCCTTTATCCTCCATGTAAAGGTCAACGTTTTTCTATAGCCCCATCCTTACTTTCCAAAATACTCCAGACACAATACTCCAACGGACGAGCTCATTTTTCAATATTGTCCGAATTGAATATTACGATACGTTCAGCTCACGAGACATTTTTCAGCCACTGCGAGGCGGGTTTCGATCAAGTCGATTCTTTACTTTTCGAGTCATTTCTGCTGATGTTGCTGTTTTCTTCCGTCTACTTCCTTGACGTCGGGCTACGCTTCCAGTATCATGGTAACGAGGGATGGTACGAGACACAAAATATTTATTCACATTTATATGCTGGAGTGCTCTTACGATAGCCACTTCTGGTTTTCCAGCCAAATATCACGCTTGAATTCTAGCACGAATAACTTTTTTCCGGAAAATTCTAACCAAAATGCTTTTGTACGCTTCTAAACAATGTAATGAGCTTTCACTGGAATAATTTTAACAGCTGTCGGACGAGTGGCTTTGTAATGAAAGCAGTTTGAAATTGGTTGCAGTTTTTTCATCTCACCCTGTATATTTGAAAATGTTTTTTGAGGATTATTTGAGAAATATGCATTGGTATTGACCATTAAATCGGGTGGACTGTACAGTACTATTAGCTTATTTATATACCCACCACCTTGGAAAGGAGGGTATATTAACTTTGTCATTCCATTTGTAAGATCCCTTGATATTCGTCGTAGACCCCATAAAGTATACATATATATTCGTGTTCAGCGTAAAATTCTAAGTCGATTTAACGATGTCCGTCTCTACGTCTGTCTGTTGAAATAACTATGCATCCCATATTATTTGACATAGAATGCCAACATTTAGCAGAACAATTTGTATTGTGTCTAGGATGGTTTGTGTTGATAATGAGATATATCGGTCTAAGTTTTGGTATAGTCCCCGATAATCGGTATTTTGATGATTTTTGCTATATTTTTTTTCGCAGATTTGTCTAAAAATGTCATAATAGGTTCTAACTCCGTTAGCGAAGCATTGTATGTATAGGTCCACGTTTTTGTATAGCCCCATATAACGGTACCTCCCGATATTCTGTATTTTGATGATTTTTGCCACATTTTCCGAAAGGCCACTAATTTATATAAAAATTGGCATTTGTGGGTCATAATGGGTTCTAATGTTTCCTTTACCCTAAGGTGTGTTAAAAGTTCGGCCGAACTTAATGTTTTTTTTACTTGTTTTCAATATAGAAAAAAACTCATTAACAATGTTAGTTTAAAAATGTCGCCATACACCTACGCCACTGCAGTCAATTACAATTTGTTTACCAATAATAATAATAATTGGAACCAACTATTTGCCATAACGAAATTCCAAATATGTTTACCTAAAGCAAGAATATAAAATGTCTTGTCATTTTGTAATCATTCACTTTCACAATCCACCCTAGGGTTCTTAATGATGTCCTTGCTTCTCGGCTTGTCTGTCGGCATAACTTGTTGGTAGCATTATTAGACGACGTCATCAGGTGGGGACTCCCAACAGCAATCAGTGTGTCCCCATTCTAATGCAGTTGGAACAACAGACAACGGTGGTGTTATCGTTTAGCTTTGGAAAAACAATAACTGTTGTCGTCGTCGTTGTTGTTGTGGTTTTTCTTTACTAGCAATATTGGTAGTTGAACTGATTGGTGGGAAGACTAACCATATGGGGTGAAAAGCGGAGAGCACGTTGGCACGAAATTTATAAAAGGCTCGCGTTACTCGAAGAACTCTCTCAATTCACCGGCATTCTTGTGGTAACGTAAACGTGGCAAGGACATATCGGCATTCGCTTTCATTTTTTCGTTGTTGGCATTCATTACCTTCAACGTGTTACCAACCAACTGACGTCGACTTCTTCGTCAGTCAGGCACTTGAGCTGAAAGAAATGAAAATCGAAGACAAGAAAATGTGAAGTGGCAAAATGAAAATAAACAAAATTAAAATATGAAATTAAGGCAAAAAAGTGAAAGAAATATGAAATAGAAAATATGTGCCTTTGTGTTAAAATTAATATATTTCAAAAATCTGTGTCGAATTTCTAGCATTTTAATAAATCAGAGTGCTTGTTTGTTGTTAATTCTTCTGTGAAGTTGTGAAAGTGTTGCTAAACATGAAAACAAATCTCTAAGAACGACCTAAATATGGATAGGACTTACAACACCAATCGAATTTGGACAACAAACAATGGATTTATAAGGGACATTCAAAGGCCAAGCTCATCTGGTAAGTAAAATTTTGGTTTGGAAATGGAAGTTCATCACAAATATTGAAGTTTAAATTGTGGCATAAAGCAAATTGATTGAATATTCGTGTTAAAAGAAGAACGCCAAAAATCTTTTGATAATCAGTAGATATATTGTATTACAATAATATATTTTTTCCTGAATATCTCAGCTGATATGCGTGTCAAGATGTGTCTCCGCTTTAAAAAAAAGGCCAAAAAAAATGTGTTTCAGTCACAATTTCAAACCGAATTTGCTGTAAATTAGAAGAAGGTGTTCACCGTATGTAGGAAACATCCTTGCAGGAACTGCAAGTATAGGTCTACGTTTTGTATTCGGTATTTTCATGATTTGTGTCACAATTTTCACCGGAATTGTTTCAAATTTTATATTTGCAGTTTGCAATGGGTACTTCCTCATATGACAGAAAATTGTGTTATCAGGTCCACATTTTCGTATAGCTCATAAATAACTGTACCTCTCTATATTCAGTTTTTTTGATGTTTTTTTTTGTCATACCTTTAATAGAATTATTTCAGAATAGGAGTTTGGTGTTCGCAGTGGGCACTGCCGCCTATGACAGAAAGTTTCCCATACAAATTCATTTCTTCGTGAACAAAATTATCTTAAATTTGATTTTTTCAGTCCTTCTCTGACTGGCAATTGGCTTCAAAGTTCCACGTTTTCGAATATCTTCACTTAACCGTAACACCTGATATTCGAAATTTTTAAAATTAAATAGTCGTTTTCTTCAATGGATTTTTTTTACATTTTTGAGATCCTTCAAAGTGGATCCATAGAGAACTAATTTTTTGGTAATGGTATTTTTTAGATAATTCAAAATGCCGAATTACAGTCATATATCGGTACCTCCCTATATTCGGTATTTTTTGATACAATATTCACCTAATTTTTTTGAAATTTCGTATTTGAAGTAACTTATAGGTACTACAGCCTGAGACATGAAATCGTGTAAGCAGGTACAGGTCTTCGTGGAGCCCCCATTTAACGGTACCTCCCTATATTCCATATTTCTGATGATTTAAGCAACATTATATGCCGGAATTGTTTCACATTTCGTATTTGAAGTTCCTAGTGGGTACTACAGTCTATGACAGAAATTGTCTGTGCAGGTCCACGTTCTCGTATATTCCACATCGGTTCCTCCCTATATTCGATATTTTGATAATTTTAGCTACATTATTCATTTAAGATTTAACAGAATTTTTGTTTAAGATTTCCAGATTTGTTTCAAATGGTGGAGGGTATTCAATGTTCGACCCAGCCGAAATTACTACTTTTTTACGTGTTTTTATACCTTCCACCATTGTATGGTGGAAATATTAATTTTGTCATTCCGTTTGTAACACCTCGAAATATAAATTTTACACCCTATAAAATATATATATATATATATTCTTGATCAGCATAAAATTCTATGTCGATTCAGCGATGTCCATCCGTATGTCCGTCTGCGGAAATCACACTAATATAACACTTACTTTCGGTATTTTTAAGATTTTACCAGACTTTTTAACGGACTTTATTGTTTTTGAGAACTACCAAATTCGTTCCAAAGGGTGGAGGGTATTCAAAGTTCGGCCCGGCCGAACTTAAACCCTTTTTACTTTTTGTTTGTTTTTTATACCCTTCACTATAGTATGGAGGGTATATTAGGTTTGTCATTCTCAAAGTACTCATGTTAGACCTAACAAAGTATATATATTCTTGATCAGCGTAAAATTCGATGTCGATTTAGCGATGTCCGTCCCTCTGTCCGTTTGTCCGTCTGTGCAAATAATTTTAGCTTAGGAACGAAATGAAGTAGATTGATAAAATTTACTGAAATGTATACAATGTCTGCATGACTTTTTTGAAAGTGGGCCATGTAGGTCCACATTTTGGTATAGCCCCCATATAATAGTACCTCCATATTTTCCGTATTTTGGAGATTTAAGCGGCATTATTCACCGGAAATGTTTCAAATTTGGTATATTAGGTTCGTAATGGATACTACAGCCTAGGACAGAAAATTGTCCGTGCAGGTCCAAGCCTTCCTTTAGCCCTCATATAATGGTAACTCCCGAAATTCGGTATTCTGATGATTGTAGCTAACTTATTCACCGGTACTGTTTCAAATTTGGTATTAAGCACGAACTCAATGGCGATCGGTTCTCAAAAATTATAAAACAGATAACAATTTCGAAAGAAAATGACTGTAAACCCTCATAAAATTTTATATTGAACAAAGATATGTTTCTACCTCTAAAAATTTATTAAAACCCAAGAAATTCGTATGGGTATAATGCATAGTACAATATTGCTTAATTTTATTTTCTCGAATTGATATGCACCTGATTTGCTGATAACGAATTCAACATTATAGACACATTGTGTTACATTCAAATCGTGAAAGGTATTACAAATTATTTGCTCGTTAGTTGGGTTGGTTCAGTCTAATTCATTACGCAAAGTCGTTTCTTAAGAACAGTTTTAAGTAAAATGCAACAAAATCATAAGTTCCATGTGATTCATCCATTATTTTGTATCAATAATTCCATATTTAAAGTTTTTATACCCTACACCGCATAGTGATAAGTGCATTTGTTTGTAACAGGAAGAAGGAAGCGAGATAGACCCACAGATACTTTTGAGGATCTTCATAAAATCAATTTTTGAGTCGATTTATTTATGTCAGTCAGTCCGTCCGTTCATGTATTCTTGTGAACAAAATGCAAGTTGCATTTATTATCCGATTGAGATAAAATTTGGAAAACAGTACTTTTTTGGCCCAAAGACGAATCCTATTGAAATTGGTGATAATCGGATCAGATTTAGATATAGCTCCCCTTTGTCTTCGACCGATTTCGGCCTAATTGTGCACCAAATGGCCAATATATGAATTTTGCTACATCCTGAATTTTGTTACAGCGAATGCAGTCTAGAAGCAAGTGCTTTAAATTTGGATAAAATCGGTTCACATATTGCTATAGCTCCCATATTTATGTTTCATCCGATTTTGGGTTTTAAGTCCCTCACATGCGTAATATGCACTACACAAGAATGATATTTGGTACCGGTAAAGCCCAGAAACGCCACTATCAAATTTTATCAAGATCGGTTTCGATTATCCCATATATATCGTTATCCGATATCAGGTTTATTGTGCACCAAATTCCTAATATGAGCCCAAATGGACTGAAATTTAGCAATTACGATTGAATTCATCCTATAAACCACTACTTTGAACTTGGTGTAACTCGGTTCAGATATAGCTTAAGCTCCCATCTATATATTTTTTTTCGATTTGGGGTTTAAAGTCCGACATTCGACAACAATGATATTTGGTACCAGATATCTTATAGAGCTCGGAAATAGCTCTCATATATATCCTCAATCCACTTTCAGGTTTATTGTGCAAAGAATGGCTATTATCAGCCTAACTGGAGTGAATCTCGGGACGTACGTTTCCATTTTGTGCAACTCGGCTCCGATATATTAATTTAAAAAAAATCCTTCTCGAAGTAAGATCATTCGAAAGTCATTTGGTATAATGTATTAAAATGTCTCCGTCAAATTTAGTGAAAATCGATTCGGAATTGTATATGCCTCCCATAAATTGTTTCCCTCTGAAACCAAACTATAACTGCTATAAAGCCAAATGTTTATAGGTGGTATGATCTACTTCAAATAAATTCTTTTGTTACGGGAGCTCTACTAAATAAGCATAGTGGTGTAGGGTATTATATAGTCGGCCCCGCCCGACTATTGACTTTCTCTTACTGTTCTTTTCGATTTTAAACTGCAGTTTTGTATTTTAGAACAAAATTAACTAAACGCTGGGTTTTAAAGAAATATATTTCGTCTATCATTTATAGGCAATTCGGTCTATCAGCACTAACGTTTAAATGACGATTTCCGTTTAATAAATAAAAAATTCTTAGTTGCTGTAATTATAATGAAAAATGTGATCCTCTTTTTTTCCAAATCGAGACTATTTATAGTAAATGTGTTACCCACAACAAATAGTGTTTTATATTAAATTTTAATAAATACACCCGCATGCAAATCGCTTTAAAGCACGCAACCGCCTCATGCATTAACCAACTAAGTCCAATGAACCTCAATTTAAGTTTTATAATCATTTGTTTTTGCTGCCACCCCACAAAAAATTACACGGGGAATCCAAACGAAATGACAGTATTTTAAAGTAAATAAAATCAAAGGACAGACAGTGCAATCATTAGTGACCATCAGTAGAATGTCGACAGTGTTGTTTGAGAATGTAGCAGTGGTGATTGGAGATTTTAAACTCATAATTAAAAAAAATTGTTCGTTTTATCTTGATTCACTGCTCGAAAGTTGTTTTTTGTTCGGCAGAAGTTTTAACTGGCTTTATTTGTTGAATTCTTTATCATCATCTCAGCTTTGTTTTTGCCAGCAATGATTTTACCAAAAATGGTCAACAAGTTGAGAATAATATTTAAAAATTGATAGTGTCGTATGGAGGATAAAGGTATTGAAAATTGACCATAAATTCCAAGTTTTGGTATAGCCCCCATACATCGGTACCACCCTATATCAGGTATTTTGATGATTTCAGCGACATCCTACACCAGAATTGTTTCAAGTTCATATTTGAATATTTTAATGGCCTATGACAAAATTTGTTTAGTTTGGAAATTTCCAAATTGGTTTTAAAAGGTGGATGGTATTCAACATTCGGCCCGACCGAACTTACTGCTTTTGTACTTGTTTCTTTAATCATGCTAGCAGAAAAAGAATTTATAAAGTCGTATAATTATTATTCGCACTATTTGTATGATCTAGTTGGTGCTTTGTTGATATGATCTACCTCAAATAAATTCCCAATATTTGTTATGGGTAGTTAATTAGAAAACGTGTTTTTGCATGGGCATATTTAACTTGAAGCTGTTCTTTTGTCAAATATGAGTTTTTACACTAGAAAGCTATTAGAAAGTGTAGCGAAAATTGAAATGA